CGAGGGATATGGAGGGAAATTCGGCGTTATGACAGATAGGATGGATAAGGTATCTAATTTACATTAGAATGGAATAATTATACATTTACTAATCTTCACATTATTTTTTGAATCGAAGTATGCGACTATCCGATTATATACATTTGAATTATTTGATCGAGTTTAATGTATGGTATCCAACGATCCAATTCGATTTAATCATTATTATGCATTGTTTGGTTGTCTTCAAGGCTTTTTCATAATGTTTAAGGTATGGCTGTTGTTTTTTTAAGGCAGCTGTATCGTTCGACTACAAGGGTAAAGTAGACCCTCACGCTTCGCAAAAAGACTATGCTGTCGGTTTCGGTGGCAAATATGGAGTACAAACTGATAGAAAGGATAAATCTGCAGCTGGTTGGGATGAGAGGGTGGAACTCTCGAAGCACGTCAGTCAGAAAGGTGGGGAAGACTTCTTTTCACTTGAGCAGTTTGCATATTCCCATCCTTGTTGCAAACAACATCTGTATCTAATATTTGTTTCTTACCCATTTTGTTATCTTTTGAGAACTCTTTTTTATTGCTCGATAGAAGTTCAATTGTAGATGCATCATCTGGATATGGTGGTCGTTTCGGCGTTCAGAAAGATAGGAAGGACAAATCAGCTGTTGGTTGGGATGAGAAAGTCGAGTTATCGAAGCATGAAAGTCAGAAAGGTCAGAGAAAGATTAACGTTCTTTTTTTCAAGTGTTTGTTAACTTTACTCGATTTTGTTTCCATTCTTGCAATCTAATCATCGCTCTTTTTTACCGGCTCATAGTTCTGTCTAGACACGCCGCTTTTCCGATGACTAATTTTATTGAACATTTGTTGACAGGGCTATTATTGCACGATTTCGTCTCATTTTCGGATTAAGCGCGTCTTGACGCTCGATTGCTGCGCGGTATGACTCATAAGCGCCTGTTTTCAAAACGGTTGTCCTAACACATAAATCTTTGAGGGAAGAAATTGAAAACGAGGCTGCAGGGCTATTTCTGAAAGTGAAGAGTTTTACGAAGAATGGCATAAATTTGAGAGCATTACAGTTTAAATTATGCCTTTTGTTTAACTAGTTTCTTAATGTTACTATTAGTAGATTCGAACATTTTTACTTTAGTGTTCACTCTAAGTTCAAAATTTCCTCGTTACTTCGAGTCTCTCAAGAAGTTGTAAATGTTTTATTGTTAGATGTTGCTACCGGTTACGGAGGTCGCTTTGGCGTGCAAAAGGATCGTAAGGATAAATCAGCTGTTGGATGGGATGAGCACACAGAACTCCCAAAGCACGAAAGTCAAATGGGTGAGTTAACGTATTTGAAATTACAAGGTGAAAATATGTACTCTCGTTGATGGTATATAGAGCTTTTGAAATCTCCACATTGTTTTATCCGCAAACATATTTGTTTTTCAGATTATAAGAAAGGCTTCGGTGGCAAATTTGGTGTACAGACCGATCGGCAAGACGCCTCAGCTGCTGGATGGGACACTCTCGAGCAAGTTCCGAAGCATCCCAGTCAACAAGGTGAGATTACTCTCATACTTTTTTTTCCTGTATCTTTACACTTTCAAGTTCTTAACATCGTTTTTCGTGTTTATTAATTTTCTAATTTTTTTCCATACTTCAAAAATCTGCCCGTGCAGTCTTTAGTCTTTCGAATTAATATTCTCATGTTTGCAGATTACAAACAAGGCTTTGGTGGCAAGTTTGGTCTTCAGACAGACAGGCAAGATAAATCTGCCGTGGGTTATGATGCCCACGATGATTTGAAGAAGCATGAAAGTCAAATGGGTTAGTATAAAGGACTTTCTGAAACTTCCATTCCTCCAAGTTAATAAATTCATGTGGTTATCTACACGTCAGTATACCTAACTTGCTTCATATGTTGTTCCATCTCTCTTTAGTGTATCTCATGTATATCTG